AATTTGCTTCTGGATTACCTCTCCTTTCCCTACTTACAGATCCAGGGTATGTAACGGGCCAATAGGGCTTGAATCCAGTGTTTCAAGTCAGTGGGATATTTTGATATTAGCACAGCAGTAGGTATGTGTCATGGTGTGGTGAGTGTGCCAGATCTGCTAGCAGGAGGAGGTATAACAGCCTGGTTCACTTTGAGTACCTAGGCGATATGGTGTTTGGACAATCTGTGTGCAGGCGGTAGACTGTCCCATGTTGGTGAGCCGAATCTTTCATAGCTTTGAAAAGTATCTCAAAAAGTTAGGAGACAAATGGGAAGATCAGTGTGGTAACTCTGGGAACTTGACCTGTCTGTGGAGACTGAAGAGAATTTCAATGAGTAAAGGCAAATGCAGGGTTGGGTATGAAATATGAACTCTTATTAAGAGTACCTATGTTTTGTAGAAGATATCACATTATTGCAAACAAAACCAGATATTTCAAGGTTATCATGTTTAAAGAAAATTCACTATTCTCTCTCTCTCTCTCTCTCTCTATATATATATATATGTACCCACACACACATATATAGCATATATATACACCTACATATAATATATATAATGTAGTTTGTCTATATATAATATGGATATATAGACACACATACTTATGTAAATATTATCTGATAAATGTTCAGGAAGTCAATAAATTAAACCCAAATTTGTAGCCTTTGCTAATCGGTTTGGTGTTAAAATTTCTATCATGGCCAGTTTCAAGCAACATGACATCACTGAATTTAGAGTTGAGGAAAGATATGCATGATAGCATACCTTCATACAGAATTCTCATCATATAGACATGAGAGACATAAACTTCAAGAGTAGAACTGACAGTAAAATGCACATGGAATAATTATGAAGTGATCACCTTAAATTATTTATTTAACCTTGCATTTTAAAGCATAATTTATTGAACTCTAAAATTATATAATTTAATTGTTAATGGTTGTTTTCAACAACTAGCCTTCAAAATTTCTCTAAAAATTTGTAATTAGTTTTTTTTGGGTCCAGATGAGCGGATTCCAGTGCACCATTGCCTTACTGTGCACTATCCTTTCTGAGGGAGCTGTCTTGGGTTTCCTTTTTTGTTTCCCTAACTCAATTCATGTTCTACCATGCCTTCATCTATTTACATAATTTTGCCCTCTGATATGACTTAATTTTCCTGGAAATGTCTGCTAGGTTGTCACATTTCTCTTTTTAGAACTTCCATTTAACCTTTTTCTACTAAAAGCCAATCATCCTCCCATCCAGAAATTATTGAATTTCCTGGATGATACAACTGTCAGGTATCATGTAGTACTCATCTAAGTGAAGGGGAAACTAAGAACCTGTTCCAACATCAATAGTTCAGGTAACTCAGAGTCTTAAGCTGCCATTCTTGGTAACTAAAATGAAGTGTATTCAAACATGTCAGCATCATTTATGAATTTAGACCTAACTGTTAAGGGATGGCATTTTGATCTTTAAGTTTTTACTTAAATTTTCCTGCCAGATTACATACATAGTATTAGTTTTTCATGCTACATTCAGTTGAAAGCAACTTCACAATCACAACAACCTGTTACTTAAATAACAGGGAATTTATAACTTTAACTCATCTTGTTTACAATATAAATACTGTTCATTTTAGGCAGTCATGGGTCCAAACTGTAAGGGTCTCAGTCAACTATCAGGTCCTAAGCAACTCTTCTTCTTAGCCAATTGTTGATAATCCGGTAACCAGTCTTTGTATCATATAACCAAGAAAAAAGAATGCAGAGGCTGATGCTCTGTGAAGAAGTCATCAACCTGGGCAACTCCCACTGATGCTTAACTGGGATAATCTTGAAGTAGCTTTGGAAAGGAAACCTGACATTCAGAATGTTGCTGTCCAAGTAAGACCTCACAGGAGGGGGTTGTAAAGTCTCATAGTCATAGAGTCACCTCAACTGAAATCACAAAGGAGCAAGGGAGGGAGAATAAATAACAGTGAGGAAGGGGAATTGTTAATGGGAAACAACATACTCCTGTTCAGCATTGCCAGTTGCACAAGACAATGCAAGTGACCCCCGTCTTTATCATTTGGTAAAGTATTTCCCAAACAATCTTTGGGTGCAGAATCAGAATATTTTCCTTAGAAACAAAAGGCCTATTTAAAAAATGCCCAGATCACATCATGGAATTAGAATGCTTGATGCCAAGATTTGAGGAGACTTTTCCTTAAATAAGTGATATTGATAGCAAATATGTCCATGAAAAGATGTTCCATTTTATTAGAGAAATGAAAACTAAAACCATGATTCCTAATATTTTTGAGAATAACTAAAATTTAAAGACTCGCCATATTAAGTTGTTAAGTGTATAGATGATCTAGAACCCTCATTCACTGTTGGTGGGAATGTAAAATGGTACAACCACATTGGCAGTTTGCCATTTTCTTAAAAAGTTAATCATACACTTCTCATATAATCCAGATATTCCATTCCTAAACATTTATCTAAGGGAAATAAAAAGTTCTATACAAAAACCTTTACATGAATGTTCCCGGTGACTTTATTTGTAAGGGGCCAAATGTTCAAATGGAGCATTTTTTCACCAAAAGATAAATAAATAAGCAAATTATGGTATAACCGTGCAAGAGAATGTTACTCAGCAATAAGGAGGAATACACTATTAATATGTACAACATGGGTGAAGCTCAGAATAATTATACTGATCAAATAAGCCAGTAGAAAAGTGAATATATACTGCATGATTCTATTTCTATAACATTTATAGAAAATACTAGTTAATCTATGTCAGAGAAAGCCAATCATTTCTTGCCAGGGATGGAAGGGCAGGGTGAATGGAGAAGATGCTGGAATATACTGCAGGAAAATATTACAAAAGGACACGAGGAAACTTTTGGGAGATAAGGTATAGTTATCCTTCAGTATCTGCAGGAAATCTGTTCTAGGACCCCCTCAGATACCAAAATCCAAGGATGTTCAAGTCCCTAATATAAAATGGTATAATATTTGCTTATAACCTATGTACATCCTCTTGTGTACTTGAAATCATCTACAGATTACTTATAATACTTAGTACAATGTAAATGCTATGTTAATGTTTGCTATTTATTTATTATTGCTATTAATAATAATTTTGATCCATGGTTGGTTGACTCCGTGGATAAGAAACCTATAGATATAGAGATTCAACTGTCTATGTTCACTATTTTGATTGCACAAACCATCACCCAAGTATACAATTCCTTAAGTTTTGAAGGATGTAAGTGTACAATTCCATAAGTTTCGAAGGTGTATGCATCCTTCAAAATTTACGGAATTGTACATTTTAAATAAGTGCCATTCATTGTATGTCAATTATACCTCAATAAAACTGAAGGGAAAAATTGGCTAGAAATAGAGAAGTCATCCAAAGGCCATACTCCCAACTTGAATGCAAATCAAGTAGGAAAGTTTTAGCATGAGAAGAAAAAGTAATCACTCTGAAAGCAAATTATTTTAAAGCTATGATTTTATAATTTCTCTCTAAAATGGAGGCAATGATGTAAAAAAGTACTAATGTAGCAGGAGGATGACATTGGTATGAATATTAACAAAATAAGTTGTAGTATGTAGAGGAGAAGAGAAAGAAGTTTGTTCTGTGTTTTGTTTTTAAGTACATATGACTACTTATGAAATTTATTTATATAAGGAATGAGTGAATTTGGGTTCTGGATGCAGGGCAAGCAGTTGAGCAAAATGGGATCTAAGAAGAGAAGACACCAGTCACCACAGTAACTCTGTTGCGAAGTGGTGAAGAGAAGAAACACTAATCACCACAGCAGTGAGAATGGATCTAACTACATTCTAACAAGGGAGTCTACTGCACCGGATTAAGGCCTTGCCTCTAGGCAAAAAACCCATCTCTGACTAATGAAAGTTTTATTATAAAGAGATGCTGAGAAGTTGCTTCTTAGTTTGCAACAATGGTATCAAACCAGTTCTGGTCAATTGCTAGTGTTTAGATGTTTACAAGTATTTAATTAAGCTGGCAAGTTTAACTTATTAATGGCATAAGTAGTTGTATATTTTGAAAGTTTTTCTTTAAGAGATTCATAAATTTAATAATTTGAGCAGCAAACATAGCATAAATATTGTAATTCTACATACAGTAGGTACCACATTAAAAAAAATCCTTGAACATAAAAAAATCTTAATATTATATAATAGTAATAATTTTTTTAGGTCAGGATCTCTGTGTTAGTTATTTCTAAAACTCTGTAGACACATTATCAACCTATAGATAACAATAATGTGGTACTTGAATGCTAACTCATTATGAAAATGTAGTCCCCAGCAACACCCATGGTGGGTCAAATGAGGAAGCAGTATGGGAGTTATCAAGGGTAGTTGCAGCCAAGTTCTTGGGTGTAGGTAGAGGATTCTAGAAAAGCACAACTCTGACATAACTGACCCACTCTTATTAGCTCCAGTAATTATGACAATAAATTGTATCATATAGCTACCATTTACTGAGTGCCTGGCATTGTGCTAGGCATGTGTAGTCTATTTAAACCTTTATAACTTTAACCAAACACATGAAGAAGATGTTTGATGAAGATGCTTTTGTCATTGTTATTAACAACAGATGAAGAAACTGAGGCACACAAATTTTCTCCTGGAGGCACTTGGCACAGTAGGTTAATCATGAGCTTGGATTTCAATTTGGGAATGCCTTGCTCCCAAGCCAGTGCTCGTAAACTGGTCTACAGAGAACACTCTATATACTAAATAACAAACAGCTACAAATCTTAGAAACAACACAAATACTGTGTTGAGCCAAGAGAGGATAGTAAGCCTCCCTGTACCTAACCAGAGGAAATGAGTCAGCTTTTGTTTTCGTGCCTCCCACAATTTAAACGTTTCAAGGGGGTTTCTTTCTCTCGACTGATATATGTGTATTACATATCACCCTGATAGGGAAAATTTACTCATCAGGACAGGGGAAACACAGTGGTCACCATGATGGAGTTAAGCACCACTTCAGGGGAGAATAAGTATTCCCAAGATATGCAAATGGAGGAGAAGCAGCTCATTTCCCGGAAAGGTAAACCCAGCCTCAGCCGCTTTGTTTTCACATTTTACAATGGATTATATTCTGCAATGTATTAATACAAAAAAATTATGACTGCTTAATTCTTTTTGAAAATCCAGTTATATTAATATACAGTTTGCAAGTATAAAGGAAATAAATACAACTATTATTAAGAAGTCTTTTATTTCTGACTGTTACCTACTAATCTTTATCACATGCATTTACATTCTTGATAATGTCCACCAAATTATCTACACATAATATTGTGTTTTCTGCATGAGATTATGTGTAATATTTTAGATATAATTATATTGCTTAATTAAGAAAAGTAAGAAAAATAATTATAGAAACTTCAAAAATCAAGAAAGGAAAAGATTTTCATGAGCTTAATTCCAACACTGCAATTTGTTTTTATTCTTCATTTTATATGTATATTTTGCATAATTCTATACTGTATCTATTATGTTGAATATTTTTTTACCTTGGCAACACATACTTGAAAGATATATTAATATATCATATTTCAATATATTCAATAGATGGAGTATTATTTACCTAAAAATCCTCCTGTGATTGAACATTTAATTCATGGGATTTTGTTGCTGTTGTTTTTACTTGGCTACTATACCTATATATGAATTATCTATGTTACTTGGCTATTATATGCTTATGAACTACATATGTCAGCTATATGATGATAAATGAGCATTATTCAGCACAACATGTGTTCACATTTAGAATTATTTCCTCAGAATTTATTCTCAAGAAATGAAAACCATTGGCAAATGTTTTTTCCCATTTTGTGGGCTGTCTCCCCCCTCTGTGGATGGTTTATTTTGCTTTGCAGAAGCTTTTCAATTTGGTGAGATTCCACTTGTCTATCTTATCTTTTATGGCATGGACAGTTGGGGTTTTGATCATGAATTGATTGCCTATTCTGTTTCCCATAAGGGTATCTCCTGCATTTTCTAAGATTCTTATAGTTTGAGGTTTTATGTTTAGGTCTTTGATCTATTTAGAGTTGATTTTTGTATATGGTGATAAGTAGGGGTCCTGTTACAATGTTCTGCATGTGGTCAGTCAGTTTTCTCAGCACCATTTACTAAATAGGTTCTCCTCTCCCCAGTGGTTGTTGGTGGAAGCTTTGTCAAAGATGAATTTGTTGAGAAATTGAGATTTTGCATCCGAAATCTCTATCTTGTTCCATTGATCTATATGCTTGTTCTGTACCAATACCAGGATGTTTTGATTATTGTAACATTATAGTAAAGTTTAAAGTCTGGAAATGTGATACCTCCTGCTTTGTTTCTTTTGCTGAGGATTGTTTTGGCTATTTGTTGTCATTTATGTTTCCATATGAATTTCTGTATTGCTGTTTCCAGGTCTGAGAAGAATGATGTTGGTAATTTAATGAGTATTCCACTGACTCTGTAGATTGATTTTGGGGGAATGGACATCTAAACAATGTTGATTCTTCCTATCCATGAACATGGAATATTTTTTCATTTGTTTCTTTTATTTTCTTAAGCAGTGTTTTAGAGTTTTCATTGTAAAGGTCTTTCAGTTCTCCGGTTAGAAAGATACCAAGGTATTTCTTTTGTGTGTGTGTGACTACTGTGAATGGGATTGTGCTTTTTATTTGGTTCTCTGCCTGGCCTAACATCCAAGATCTACAAGGAACTCAAATGTGCCAAAAGGAAAAAAAACAAACAGCTCAGTTAAAAAGTGGGCAAAATGAATGAACAGATATTTCTCAAAAGAAGATATACAGCAACAGATAGATACATGCAAAAGTACTCAGCCTCACTAATCATCAGATAAAAGCAAATCAAAACCACATTGAGATACCACCTAACCCCAGTAAGAATGACTATCAAGAATGACCATGATTAATAAAAGAAAAAAAAAAAAAAAAAAAAAAACAGATGCTGGTGAGAATGAGGAGAAAAGGGAATACTTTTACAATGTTGGTGGGAGTGTAAACTAGTTCAACCTCCATGGAAAACGGTGTGTAGATTCCTAAAATAATTCAAAATTGATCTTCCATATGACCCAGCAATTCCCCTACTGGCAATATACCCGGAGGAACTCAAATCATTTTATGAAAAAGATATCTGCACACATATGTTTATGGCGGCACCATTCACAATAGCAAAAACATGGAGCCAAACATGCTGCTTGTAGAAACTGGACTGGATTAAAAAAAAAAAAAAAAAAAGTGATACATGTACACAATGGAATATTATGCAGCCATAAAGAAGGACAAAATTATGGACTTTGCAGCAACTTGGATGGATTTAGTCTGTAATACTCAGTGATCTATCACAGAAACAAATAACTGAGTACCACATGGTCTCACTCATAGCAGACCCTGAACATTTACCATAGTACTATAAGAAAGGGATTGGCAATTGCTGAAAATTGCCAGGGAAGTGGGGGGGGGGGGCACATAACATCAATAAGGGTACCTGTAGGATGACCACTTGTATACCTAACCCTGAAGTGTACTCCATATCTTTAATTTAAAAGTTTTTTCTCCTCACCAAAAAAAAAAAAAAGAAAGAAAATCTTGAGACAAAGGCTTTAAGTGTTTCCTTTCCTTTGGCCACTATGGAGACCTTATGGAATATTTTAAACAGAAAAGGAAGTGATTTGATTTATGGTAAGAGGAGAACATTCCAACTGCTGTATTAATGATAGACTAGAAACAAAGAACAAAGCTGAAGGTTATTGCAAAAATCTGGGTAAGATCTGTTGGTAGCTAGAATAACATGGAATCAGTCCTAAACTAAAAGATAACAGTGGCTCTGGTGGGAAGTAGTTGGATTCTACATACATTTTGAATGTAAAGACAATAGTATGCTCCAGATCAAGGATTGCAAAGTGTTTATAAGGATGAGATTTCTATCATCTGATTTGGAAAAGACTCTGGCTAAAGCAAATTTTGGGATGGTTGAGCTTAGGAGTTTAGCTTTGGACTTACTAAATTTGATATGCAAATCAGTTAGTCAATTGGCTTTTAGTGAAACAATAATGTATCTTAAAAATCAGTAAAGGCAGCCTGGGTGTGGTGGCTCATAACTATAGTTCCAGCACTTTGGAATACCAAGGTAGGAGGATTGCTTGAGCCCAAGAGTTCAAGACTGTGGTGAGCCATGATCTTGCCACTGAAATCCAGCCTGGGTGACAAAGTGAGATCCCAACTCTAAATAGATAAATAAATAAACAAACAAATAAATAAATAAAATTAATGGAGATTTCAAGTTGACAAAATTCAATGTTTTTGTGTTATATCTAGGCTTTATGGTGACTTAAAACATATTGCTCCAACATTATTTTCCATATATTTAATCAGTCAACTCAGCAGTACTTATTACCTCATCTAACTTTCCCTCATTAATTGCTACAACATCCTTTACATACTACATTATTCTTTTGGATGTTTTCTATTGTTCCTTGAATTTTCCTGCATGTTCTTATACTTCAGTACAATGTCTTATCATTTTACTCTCATGAGAAATTTTCATGATTTATAATGTAAATATCTTTTGATCTTACATTTCCCTCAAAAAATTATCGTATTGTCATTTAACTAATCTGTATTATTTTTTACTGACTATTCATTTTCTATTTCTGTACGCATATTATCATAAACTTGTAGCCTAAAATATACATTTATTAATAATTTCTCTAGATCAGGGCTTCAAGTACAGCTTGGCTTAGCTGGTCCTTCTTTGGGTCTTCCAAGGTTGCAGTTGAGTGGTTGACCAAGTTGCATATTCATCTGGAAGGTACACAGGGAAAGAGTCCACAGGTTTATTTAGGTTGTTGGAAGAATTCATTTTCTTACAGCTGTATGACTGAGGGCTCTGGCTTTTGGTTGAATTTTAGCTGAAAGGCATTCTCAGGCCCTAGAGAATGCCAGAGTTTCTTACCATGTGGGCTTCTCCAACTTTCTGCTTACTTCATCAAGTCCAAGAGGAGAACGTCTACCTTCAGTCTGCTAAGATGGAGACTTGTATAACATAATGCAATAATGGGAGTGACATCTCATCATCTTTGCCATATTCTACTGGATAGAAGTAAGTCAGAGGTCTTGCTCCCAAACAAGGAGAGGGGAATTACACAAACATGAGAATACCATGAAGTATTCACTAAGGGTGTCATCTGTCACACCAAGTTAAACAAACAAACAAAAAATAATTCTCCTGGATTTTGATTAGGGTAATATTGAATTCAGTAATATAGCTTCTAAGTTTCAAAAGTCCATAAGTTTATGGTGCCAGTGCCCTCTTCCATTGGTTAAATAGTATGCCCTCAGGTGTTTATCAAATTTACTCTTTCACATACATACAAACTCACACATCACAGCTAAGGATGATCACTGAAAATATTTAACAGATCAGCATTGCACCAATCTATTAGAGTAGATATAATTGGAATGATTCATTCATAATGGACACAGGACACATTCAAATAACTTTCAGGGACACAAATAGTCGCTTTTGGAAATACTTAATGTCTAGGAAGCCCAAGATTAAGCCTTTTTTATTTTTTGGGTGGGTGCATGAGGGTGTGTGTATGTGAAAACAGAGCCTCACTATGTTGCCCAGGCTGGTCTAGAACTTCTAGGCTCAAGTGATGCTACCACTTCAGCCACCCAAAGTGTTGGGATTATAGGTTTGAGCCACTATGCATGGCCAGGCTAAGCCTTTTAAATACCTTTCTAGTTAATCTTTTAGCAATGTCATGAGGCAAATGTTCAGCCTCATCATTTGTAAATTATTAGTCTACTGATTTGCTGATATCCTTTTCAGTAGCCTATGGCATCTAGATCCCAAAGAAACTTGGGAAATCAGAGGTCACAAGAACTTCAAGTTATTAGTTAATTTGATTTACTTTGGAAGTCACCACTAGCCCTGAATTGGAAAGAAAAACCTTTACAAAGGTTTGTTTGCTAGGCTAGGTGTGATAACTCAGACCTGCAATCCCAGCACTTTGTGAGGCCAAGGTGAGAGGACTGCTTGAATCCAGAAATTTGAGACAAGTCTAGGCAACATAGTGAGACCTCGTCTCTATGAAATAATAAAAAAAATTAGCCAGGCATGGTGGCACACATTTGTAGTCCCAGCTACTTGGGAGGCTGAGGCAGAAAAATCACCTGAACCCAGGAGGTAGAGTCTGCAGCGAGTCATGATTGTGCCACTTGCACTCCAGCCTGGGCAAAAGAGTGAGACCCTGACTCAAAAAAAAAAAAAATGATTTGAAGTCCTCACCCTAATTATTATACATTTTTCAGTTTCCTCCAAAGTCCTCCTTCTACCCTCATTCACTACAGAGGCTTGTACTCCATAAACAGGAGACAGTATAGCCTTGAGGAGAACGTTTTTTTGTTAATCTCATGGCACTTCCTTCCTTGAAGTTTTGAGGACTCCTTGAAGCTACAGAGAGTGCCCTCTTCTCCCACATCACATAGCTACATAAATCTTACAGCTGGATGCATTTGAGTAGTAGCAGAGGTATTCCCATGGAATCATCTGGAACAAAACAAAAGCCACCACATACATGTAATACAGTGGTTAAGAGCATGACACCTGAGCTACATTGTGAGCTGACCTCTCTGTGCCTGTGTTTCTTCATCTGTAAAATGGGGATGATAGTAGTAGCTACCTCATAGTGTTATTGTGAGGATTTAACGAGTTAACTCTCAGGTATCATGTTATATGACATGTCAGAAGTATATGACCCACATACTGATTCTCTCTTCCCCAAAACCCTTGTCTCTTTGTCTTCTAAGACATCAACTCTCATGGTTTTCTTCCTACCTCAAAGCCTACTTTTTTTTTTTTTCATTTTTCTTTGTGGGTTTCTCCCCTTTCTTTCCAACCTTTAAACATTGGAGAGCTCCAGAGTGAGTTTTTGGTTCTATTCTCTATATATTTGCATTTCCCAATTCTCATGACTTTAAGTATTCTTTGTAGGTTATTAACTCCCAATGCCATGCCTCAACTTCTACCTGTCTTTCAAATTCTAGAGTTATATATCCAACAACACTGTCAACACCTTCTCTTGGGTACCTAAGAGGCAGCTCTGTTTTAGCATGTCTGATGACAAGTTGTTGATCACTCCACTTTCCAAACCAGTTCTTTTCACAGAACTCCCTTCCCAGTGAAGTACAAGAACCTTTCCAATTCCCTACTTCCCTGCCTTCTGCCCATCCATGAAATTGAAACTCTTATTTGGTGTTTCTCCCACTCTGGGATTTGTCTGGTATCTGAACATCTTAGCTACTACCATTATCCTAGCCCAAACTAACTTTACATCTCTTCTGGATTATGACAATAGCTTCCTAAGTGTACTTCCTATCATTTTGCTGTCAATTTTCCAGCCAAAGATATCCTGTCAAAATGTAAGTAATGTTATGTTCCACTTCTGCTCAAAATCCTCCAGTGGCCCCCATCTCTCCCAATGTAAAAGCTGAAGTATCTACAGTGGTTCACATGACTTTGAAAAATTCAGGCCCCATTACATCTCTTTCCTCATATCTACTCCTCTACCTCTGGCTCAGTCCACTCTGTCATACTCATCTCTTTTTGGTTCTTTGAACACATCAGCACTTTCCATTCAGCCTCAGAACTGCTCCTTCTACTAAGTGTGTTGTTTCCCCACATATCTGCATTACCAGCTTTCTCATATGTCATTAGGACTTTGTCCTTTCTTACTTTATTTTCTTCACAGCATGTATTACCCTTTAATATATTATATGGTTTAGTATTTTTGTATTTCATATTTTGTGTTTCTGTCTGGAATGTGAAGTCCCTAAACACAAGGCTATTTGTCTGCTTTGCTTACTACTACTTTTATAGGGCCCGGTATGGGGGTATCTATAAGTATTTTTGATTGAAGATATAAAATCTGGAGTGGAGGACATGACTAAGAAGAGTAGACAATCCAGTTCTCTGCTATTTCTCCTAATTGAATAGATTTCCTTATCCAGGCAGAGGGTGAACTGGACAAGCCCAGGCTTGCTTTGCTAAAGTAGTTGAATGATAGGAGAATAGACAGAATCCAGGAAGGCTGGAGAAGATGCAGAGCTTCACATGCTCAATTTATTTACCCAAACTCATTGGTCTATGTCACTTTTCTTTCCCTGAGGGAAACAGTAAAGGGAATGAAGATAGTTCCAAAGAGCTTCTTTGCCTTTTGTGAAGAAACTGAGACCAGGTCAATACAGCTTCCTGCCTCACACATTCCATTTGCTCTTCAGACTGTTACTTAGTATGGTTCAGAAAGACTTCTTAGAGAGCATCGATTGCTAATCACTAGACCACCACAGAACAATGTAAGACTTTTTAGAAAGCTGAATAGAGAGCTAACCTTTGAAGCTTTTTAAATTTTCGATTTCATCAATCCATTCTTCTCATATTTCAATTTCTAAACAATTCTATTCTTTAATTTCAATCACAAATACTGATTTCTCCACGTTTTACATTTTATAGAAAATTTAGCCAGGACCTAGGAAGGGAGAATAAGATTTCCACTTTTAAGTTGCCACCTTTCCTGGATGTACAAATACAGATTATATGAATACTGTGCTCATTTCTTTTCCACAATTTTTCATTTTATTTTTTTAAAGTTTGTGGGTGTCAATTTCTTGAATGAGAAAATCTTTCTAGGAATTTAATCTCAACATTTAAGTGAAAATTTGTCCTCAATGCCTGAAGATATGAGTAGAATAGTCATCCATACCAAAGTTTTAATTAATTATTTTATATTTATAACATTTATATATTATACATACTATATTACATATAATATATGTAGTATATATGTAATTATATATGCAAATTATATGTAGTGTATTATAAACACTATGCAGTAATTTAAATATGTACACATATTTATATGCATATGTTTATTTTTAAAGTCTGTGTTACTATATATACATACATATATACACACACACGTATATATACACACATATACATCTACATTTACTTGTGAGTAATTTCATCAACTGTAGAACACAATGACCTAGAATGAGAGGAGACAGATTTATAAGAAATACAGAATACCCCAGAGGAAGTCAGACTCTGAAAAACTATGGTATAAAATGCCCTTTGGCTCAACTCAGTGATCTCCTCCTTCTATATCTTCCTTTCCTAAAGCAAATAGAATTGTCATTTAAAACATCAAGTGATAATTGTGGTATCTTTTTATATTATGTCTTGTGAAAACTAATATTGGCTAAGTAAAAAAAAAAGCACTAACACGATGTCATGTCATATTTCTAGTTCCAAGCTTATGTTCCACTCGCTATGGAATAGCCCTCATTGTACATTTTTGCAACTTCACACTGATGGCACAAAATGTCATAATAAACATCACCATGGTAGCCATGGTCAACAGCACAGGCCATCAATCCCAAATCAACGATTCCACCAAGGGGCTGCCTGTTGATTCATTTGGTGGACCAAAGAGTCTTCCTGCCCAGGTAAGCAATGTAAGATTTCAATTTGTGTTCTTGTTTTTTTGCTGTTTGTTTATTTTGATGTTTATTTTTCTAGAATTTATATGTTCAAAAATTTTAATGGAGTAAATAAGAATTCAAAAGCAAGTAGAAGATATAAATAAGCTTCTTAAGATATGTAGGAACATTGTTGTATATTGTTTATTGCAGTATTGTTTCTCTAAGGCCCCTGTGTATGACTGGAGCCCTCAAATCCAAGGTATCATCTTCAGTTCCATCAACTATGGTATGATGCTGACAATGGTTCCCAGTGGATATCTGACTGGAAGAGTGGGAACAAAGCGAGTGGTTGGTGCTACTTTGATTGGATCTTCCCTTCTCATTCTTTGCACTCCTCTGGTCACTGACTTTGGACTAGCTTTTCTCCTCATAACTCGAATAGTCCAGGGTCTATGCCAGGTACCTAATATTTTGTAAATCTGAGCTGAGTATAAATTTTTATATGGTACCACATATCAAGAACTCAAATCATTTTTATTTTAGGGCTCAGGATTTGTGGGTCAGTTTGCACTTTGGGAAAGATGGGGTCCTCCACATGAACGAAGTAGACTCTGCAGCACTGCTTTATCAGGTAATCCAAACAGGTGCACTAGAATCCAATATTCTCCCACTGGGTTCCTTGGCAATTTTTTGTTGCATGGTTCTTTATTTTCTGCTCAATGTCAATAAAGTATTTATAAATTAGGGAGACTGGTCTTTTGCCCATGATGTGACTTTCAGTTATTTTCCCTAAATTGCATTTGTGACATGACTTTGCTTATAATATAAATTTTGGCATTAAAAACTATTGATCATCTTATGGCATCTGGATTTTGAGTCATAGAAAGGTTATTAAAAACCCCACCCACTTTTTTTCTTGAATTTGCATAATTTTGTTTTAAAATATTAATTCCTAGAATATTGGCTTTTATATTAATATTCATTGTGAGGTATAGATTCAGCTTAATCTTCTTTGGAACTTCTCTCAGTTGCCCTGTGGATTTCTTCCTAATAATGATATGCTTGCATAATGTGCCCAGAATGAATATTCTGTAACAAGAAGCTCAAAGTTATACTGAAGAAAAGTAGAAAATAGACAGTGTATGGTTAACAAATAGGAGATCGCCACACTGGGTGGGGTGCTGGGTAAGAAAAGAAGGTTTACTCTCCATGTCATGTATGAGTAACAGGGAGGCCAGAGACTCATCTAGTTCAGAAAATAAGCTACATGCACACCCTGCCTGACGGCACACCCCTCTCAAGTTCTTTACAACCCTGGATGATTAGTCTCTGTCATTAGAATTTGCAATCATTGATAGAAGAATAGGGAGTGCAATTTGGACTAAGGAAATTTCTTTTTCTTACCATACTGAAGGCTTATCTGAGAATACAGCACAAGAATATCAGGAGATGGAAAGCATGAATAAAAAGTTAAGAGGCTTGTCCCTTTCCTCTTACATCCTATGGTACAGAGATTGAACATCCTGAATAGGCCAACTGACAATATCTAGAGGAATCTCAGAAGCCCACACAAGGCTGCAAGTTCCAGAAGGTGTTGGGGGACTATTTGCAAAGCTCCAGGGAGGTATTCCTTTCTGGTCTCCAGAATCTGATCCAGAGAGCACAGAACCTGTGGCTATCTGAAAACACCCAACAGAAAATCACTGGGAAAAACTCTATTGCCTATCAAAAGTGAACTGGATAAAGAAAATATGGTACCTATACACAATGGAGTATTATGCAGCCATAAAGAAGAACAAAAATTAAGACCTTTGCAGCAAATTGGATGGAGTTGGAGACCATCACACTTTGTGATCTATCACAGAAATAACTGAATACTGCATGTTCTCACTTGTAGAACATTAATCCCAACAGCACAAAGGAAGGATCAGCAGTCACTGGGCACTGCCAAGGGAGGAAAGGAGGGAGGGAGTACATAACAACACAAAGGGTACTTGGTCCCAAACCAGGAGAAGTGAAGGCCAGTTGGAGGCCCAAACTTCCCCTGTATGCAACATAACTCTGTAGTTAATGCTTATTTATTTATTTTCAAAAAATCCTTATTTATTAAAAGAAAATCAGCAGGTAGAGTGGGCTGAACTTGCTACAGTAGGTCTTACAAAAACTGCCATTTCTGACAATGCTGGGACCCCTCTGCAGGCAGCACTGGTGGACTGGGTTGCTCAGCCCATAAAGATGGAGGAAGACTCCCCAGAAAGGCACCTGTCTTCAGTGGAAGGGCTCATGTACCATCAGCCTCTACAACAAAATGTATTATATCTTTCTTCCTCTAAGAGAGCCTAAAAAGCACACCTATTATAGATAGGAAACTTTACAGCCACTTAAGGAGCTTAATAATTTAAGGGAACAAGCAGACCAAACATAACTGGCAGTTCATATTTGAGGTGGGTCTAATAGGTGATGGGAAAAATTAATCCAAAAACCTTTAATCTAAAAGTAATGCAATATCACACAACAATTAAAATGAAGAATCTGTAGCCGCATAAAACAACATAGAAACATAAATGTTGAATGAATAAAGCATTTATCATGAAGGAAATTGTCTTGGTGCCTTGGTAAACCAGGTACACTAATGGACAAACTATCCTAGAGGTTATGGAACAGGTAGACTCACAGACCAAATTAAGTGCTATAATTGCACGGATACGTCCATTTAAATCACAGTAAGAAGTAAGATGAGGAAATGGGTAAGGTAGGTCATTTGTATATTTTCCTTGGAGAGATATCCATCATGTGGTTTGCCCACTTTTCAATGGGGTTATTTGCTTTTTTCTTGCTAATTTGTCTGAGTTCTTTGTAAATACTGGATATTAGTTCTTTGTCAGATATATGGTTGGGGAATATCTTCTTCCATTCTGTAGGTTTTTCATTGGCTCTGTTTATTATTTCTTTGGCTGTGCAGAAGCTTTTTAATTTAATTAAGTCTCATTTATTTTTGTTTTGGTTGCATTTGCTTTCAGTGTTTTAGCCATAAAGGGATGGGGACAGGAGTTAGGGTTCAGAAAATACCTATGAGGCATTTGGGGAATGAGCCACCTGAGACCTAACTCTCACCACTACACAATATGTTCATGTAACAAATATGCATATGTACCCCCTGTATCTTCACAATAAATAAATAAATACACATTTGAAAAAAGAAATGAGGAAGGCTAATATGTATAAGATAGGGTGCAATCAGGTAGAAGGCCACATGTCATGAGTCAACAGTGCCATGCTACTGAACAGGATTTTTAGAGAGGGAAGACCAATTTATAGTATTTATCGATTTCTATGCTATAAATACTCCCAACATCATTGATTTCAAGATATTCATGTCAATTCACTGAATGCAGAGTTGGAAAAAAGATAGGGTCAATTAAATTTCACAAGCTTCAGCACTCCCATAATCGAGTGTCTCATATGCCTTTGAATGTTCAGAGCCTCATGTTTGAAGTCATTGACTAAATAACATTATTTGCCTCTTGGTTTTTCCATTCTTTTCTATCTATGTTCAAAGACAAATATGCCATTCTTAGAAAATTACTTATTTCTAATTAACACAGTTTATGAATTCTGTTTATCTATATCTCACAAGTTACTGACTTAATCATACATCATACCTAGCATGTCTTATATCTGATTAATGTTTTATAGGGTTAATTTATCTCCTAGTTAGAAATAGACATCTTCATATAATACAGCAAACATATTACAATGACTTAGAAGAGAACATCGAGGATGTTATAACTTTAATAAAGCTCAAAACATAAAAACAAAGCACATACACTTTAGATATGTATGTATATATGATACACTCTCATACACACATGAGTAGATAGATGTGAGGGCATGTCTGTGTGTGTGTGTGTGTGTGTGTGTGTGTGTGTGTATTTGAGCATTAAATGAGCCAGTATATGTATGTAAATCAAATGTTAGCTATGGACTATTAGGCATCTGAGTGGAGACTGGTTTAAAGTCTAAAGACTAGAATTTAGTAGAAATATGATAAATGACAAGACATATTGAAATTCCTTAGTATTTCAATAGAAATAGTATTTAAATCCCTGGTACTGGACAAGACTACCTAGAGAAAGAACATAGAGAAAAGAACTAAGAATAGAGCCTCAAGGTCCTCCAATATTTATTATATTTAAAATGCATATAGCCTTTGATCTAGCAATTCTACTTCAGATATTCTATTGCACAGAAGTAAATAATGTTTACATTAAAAATGAGTAATAGTGTCTATGTTCAGAAATAGTTAAGTAGAATCTACAGTAACATCAAAATACAAGACCAATTGTTAGATAGAAAAATGAAGTCACAAAACAATAGAAACCTTATGACCCTTTTTATTTAAAAATAATAACACTTATCTACATGCATAGAATTTGACAAGTCCATGTTAATGTTCATCTGGAAGATAGAAAAGTACAATAGCCTAGACATCTTTGCAAATGTTGTCAAAAGGGAACATGCCTTACCATATTAGAACATTCTGTAAAGCTATAGAAATCAAAACAGAGTTATTAGCACATTTATAGAAAAATCTAGGTTTCTGACTACATATTATCTAAATGTATTTACAAAGAAGATGTTTGTTTGTTTAGATATGTATTATGGTTGTGTGCAGAAAGCTAAAGGTATGCAATTATATATTGTATAATAAATTGTTACTACTGGTTAGTATTAGAGAGAACAGTGAGAATAGATTGGATAGGCATGTGAGGAATGTTGGCTCCTTGTGGCGGTTTACTTTTACAATAAGCATAGATGATTTGTATAATTAAAAATTAAAACAGCATGAAAGGAAATATGACAATTATGTACTGTGTTACTAGGAAACTGCCAGAAAAATTTGTTCTCTGGAGAACACATGAACTAAATCATAAATCTGAAGTTTATGTATTCTAATATGCCAGTCTCTTTATGGTTTGGAGCTACTGCTCTATATCATGTCATCTAACAGTCTGTGTGTGTTTGTCAGGGGGACTCCAGAGTTTCACAGCTAACTTTCTGTCTCTCTGCAGGATTACCACTGGGATGCTTCACTGTCATCCTCATGGGTGGCCTCATTAGTCATGCCCTTGGGTGGCCTTTTGTCTTCTATGTCTTTGGTAAGCTACTGTCTTCCGATTCCCAGGTTTTCAGAAAGATTCTCTGAGTATGACATTTGTATGTAATTTTCCAAAGGGAATTAGTAAAAAAAAAAAAAAATGATATAAGGGAATAATTAACCTATGCCATAAAAATTTGTGAGTCCTTCTGCCTATTAAAAAGTGCTATTAACCCACTATAATGCATTATTATCACAAAGTGGTCAGGCATACTTCACTGCTTTTGCAGGTGGTAGGAGATAGGCTTACAGAGTAGTGGTTTGTGAGAGACTGAAGAAGGAAATCCAGGGAGATGGAGGATGCTCCGTGTTTTGTCTCATCTTAAGCACAACAACAAAGCATCCTGGGTAAAGCTCAAGTTTCTTAAAGAAGAGATAACAGTAAACACCAAGAGGTTAAATTTTGCCAACCTCAGCATTTTCCCAAAGCCTTCCATTTAATTATTAGAAATCAAGTAACAACTGCTCTCTCTACAGCTTTCACTTCAGTTGCTTTTACATTCTACTTTCAAACCTCTCATCACCTTGTATTTAGTTGTTTATACATTCACCTCACTTTCTTGACAGTAAACCCCTTGAGGGCAGAGATAGAGTGTTATTAGTTCTTGGGACCCTGCAGTCCAGGGAACAAAGATGTAACATGAAAACATTAATCAAAAGAAAACTGAGTGGTTCTATTAATATCACACAGTAATGGCTCTAGAAGGCTAAATATTACCAATGAATCAAGAAGACATAACAAACTGAAACATATATGCATCTAACAAGAGCTTCAAGATACAAGTAGCAAAACTGATTGAACAGTAAGGAGAAACAGACAAATCTATAATTAAATATGGAGACCTCAAAATTATTTTCTCAATAACTAATAAAATTAAAAAAATACAAAGTGCACTTCATTCAGCAACAGGACAAGTATACTTCAAGCATTCACCAGGATAGACAATCTATGGTCCATAAAAACAAGTTTTGACAAATTTTAATGTCTTGCATATAATATAAAGTATGTTCTTTGAACATAATATAATTAAACTAGAAATCAATAACAAAAAATTCTCTGGAAATGCCCCAGATATTTAAAAATTAAGCAATATGGTTCCATTGAGTTAAAGAAAAAAGACACAAATGACATTTTAAAATTGAATTGAATGAAAATGGAAATCAATATGTCAAAATTTGTAATGCATCTGAAATAGTGCTTAGAGAGACACTTTTATTAAATACTTATATTAGACAAGACAGAGGGTCCCAAGTTAATGATCTAAACTTATGCCTTAGGAACTAGAAAAAGAAGAAAGCAGATAACAAAAATAAGAGCAGAAATTAGTGACCTTAAACAGAAAAAAAAAGAGATTCAGTAAAACTAAAAGCTGGTTCTTTGAAAAAATCAATATCATGTCAAATATTTAGCCAAATGGACAGAGAGAGGAAAAGGGGTGGGATTACACATAATTAATATCAACAATGAATATGGGGACTTCAATACAAGTCCTACAAATATTGAAAATCACAATAGGGGGATAGTAAAAGTTCTATGCTTATAAATTTGATCATTTGAATAAAAGGAACATGCTCATTGAAAGAAACAAAGTAACAAAGTTCACTCAAGAAGGAAGAATAACTTATTTATTAATAATATTTATATATCAACCAATCTATGGTACAGTGATTGTCAAGACACTGGACATTAGATGATGAAAAACAATGACCTGTAAGAGCTGAGTTCCAGGGCAGGGAACTAGAAGAGGGAATTTAGGCAAAGCCTAGGAAAAACTTTGTTGGGTAGATCAGAGCTAAGAGTCTGGAAAGAGTAAGACAGGTAAAGTTCGTAGGATAGAGTACCCAAGAGGAGACATCTGCACATAGGGAAAACCCCAATTATTTGCAGAGAGCCACTTTGAATACTCAGCAGACTACCAATCAAGTTATGTGTGTGACAAAACTGTTCAAGGCTGGGTTGGGGAAATCATTGGCACAGATTAGGAAACAGAGCTCAGTACTCACAGAGAATCAAGGATAGTGCCTGTTCCTATAAGACAGTGAAAAATTTATAATTCATGTGTGTCATTGGCTAGAATACTCATAAATGTTTTTTTCTCAGTAGTGAGAAATTATTAGCCCTAGAGAGAGCACTGCTGTGGATTTCTCTAACAAATGATTATGTCAAGAACTATCTGAAAGGATCAAGTTATTTTCACATAATTTAATTATATTCCAGAACAAAGCTAAAAAATATTTATGGGAATACAAAACTATCTAGTATTCAGCAGGAAATAATTCATAATGTCTGATTTTAACCATAGATTACCAGACATGAAGAAAAGCTGAAAAATACAACGTATAATGAAGAGAGTAATAAATCAATCAAAACCAACCCAGAGCTGACAAAATTTTAGAATTAGCCAACAAGGACATTAAAATAATTATTATGACTGCATTTAGCATAACTCTATATGCTCAAAGAGTTAAGTTAAAACATAGTAAATGTTTTAAAAAGGCCAAAATCAAGCTTTTAGAGATAAAAAGTATGTATCTGAGATGAAAAATGCACTGGATGAAATTGATGATAGATTATATACAATAGAAGAAAATATTAATCAACTTAAAATAGCAATAAAAACTATTCAGAATGCACCACACAGAGAAAAATGCAATAATAAAGTGAAAATATCAGTAAGTTCTGAAGTGCCTAAACAGGAGAGGTAGGATAAGGGAAAAACAAAAACAAGTATTTAAAGAAATAATGGCCAGAAGCTTTCCAAACGGAATGAAAACTGTACATTTACAGATCCAAAAAGGTCGATGAATCTCAAGCACAAGAAATATGAAAAAATGTACACTGAGCTACCTCATAATCAAATGACTAAAAACTAATGATAAAGAGAAAAATCTTAAAGTAATCAAAGCTAAAGAATGGGTTGTATACAAAGGAACAATGACAATGCTGAATGCAGCACTCCTGTTCAAAGCAATGCAAGAGAGAAAGCAATGGAACATCTTTAAAGTGGTACAAGAAAAAACAAGCAAACAATAACAACAACAAAAATTTCAACCTAGACTTCTAGATCTAGTGAAAAAAAGTTGCAAAAACAAAGGTAAAATAAAGATGTTTTCAAACATACCAAAGCTGAAAGAATTAGAAATTTAAAAAGAACAGTGTCATTTTCAATAGCATCAAAAAATAGGGATAAATCCCAAAACATGTGAAAGACCTATGCACTGAAAGCTAAATTTTTATGACAATAAGGGCTTCTAGAATAGCCAAACAACTTTGAAAATAAATTATAAAGTTGTAGAACAAATATTATCTGATATCAACACACATTATAAAGTTCTAATATTTAATACAGTGTGGTATTGACATAAAGATAGACAAATAGATCAATGGAACATAAGAGTTATGAACAGATTCATAAAGTTAGCTGATCTTTAATAAAGGTGTAACATTAGAGAAAGGATAGGTTTTTTAACAGATGATGCTCCAAGATTGGATATCCATATGCAAAAAAATGCACTGTGATCTATACCATGCATCCTATATAAAAATAAACTAAAAAAATGAATTCAAGACAAATATAAAATCTGAAACTATTATGCTTACAGGAGAAAAATGGGGAAAAAAATCTTTGTCCTTTGATTAGGCCAAGATTTTCTAAATATGGCACCAAAAGCATGATCTATGAAATAAGAAATCAATAAATAAGATTTCACCAAAATTAAAAAAATCTCATCTTCAGAAGGCATTGTTAGGCTAATAAAAAGACAAATTGACACAAAGAGAAAATACTTACAAAATACATATACAATAAAGACTTTTCCCAGAATATGTAAGTAATTCTCAATATTCAATAATAAGGACACAAAAACCTCAATTAAAGGTGGGCAAAGACACTTCACTAAAGAAAATATATATGGAGAAAACAGGCACATAAAGAGAAGCTCAACTCAACATCCTTAAAGAAATGCAAATAAAAACAACAATGATATACCATTACACACCTATTAGAATGGCTAATACTTAAAAAGATTGAGACACTCAACATGATGTCATTCCTAGGGTCTACAATTTTCCTACACACAAATAAACGAAATATAAACTAGGTGCTAGAAAGCTGTGATATTCATATGAATTACTGAGAAATGGATAGGGTATATAATGAACAAGGGCTTTTCCCAGGACTTATACCAGAAAATGTTCCAACAAAAATAAATTCACACAAAAGGAAGAAAACAACCCTTTTACCAGTTTAACTCTGTGCTTGCAGGAGGCATTGGCTGTGTCTGCTGCCTTCTCTGGTTTGTTGTGGTTTATGATGACCCCGTCTCTCACCCATGGATAAGCATCTCAGAAAAAGAATATATCATATCCTTCTTGGACCAACAGGTACACATAAGAATTCCAACTCTTTCCTGAGAACTTGTGCCGCCATCTGATTTTCTGAGTGTGGCTAAGAGTGTGTAAGCATCTCTTAGATCTTACTGTTCTGACTATTACATTTGTTTTCAGGTCAGTTCTTCTAAGCAGTCTCTTCCCATCAAAGCTGTGCTCAAATCGCTACCATTTTGGTCCATATGTTTTTGCAGTTTCAGCCATCAATGGTTACTTAACACATTGATCATATACACACCAACTTACATCAGCTCTGTCTATAATGTTAACATCAGAGATGTGAGTATATTTCCTCAATCCCTTTCTCTTGTTTGCATGACTCACCAATTACTCTGCCTTCACAAATCCTTCCATGTAGAGAAATAAATGTGTATCTTATTAACAAAAATAATCTAATGTTTAATACTAAGCTAGTAGCTTTTCTGAGGGTATATTATTTAAGAGATTACTGATTTCCCAAACAAAATAGGATTTCAGAATGTCAGTATGATTATTAGTGGTTTATTAATAAATGTTGTAGTCTCACTGCCTTTATTATGATAAATTATTCTGTCTTTTCCTCTCAGAATGGGATATTATCTGCCCTTCCTTTTATTTTTGCCTGGGTCACTGGTATTCTGGGAGGACATGTGGCAGATTTTCTTCTGACAAAGAATTTTAGGCTCATCACCGTGAGAAAAATTGCCACAATTCTAGGTAAGAACAAGGTCTGAGGACCAAATAATTGACAAGGCATGCAACAGTCCAAAAAGTATCTCACTGTTTTATTGGTCTTTTACTCATTCCCAAGGAAATCTCCCCTCTTCAGCATTCACTGTGGCCCTGCCCTACCTCAATTCCAGCTATATCACAGCAATTACCCTTCTGACGCTCTCCATTGGACTAACATCATTTTGTCAGTCAGGGATTTATATCAATGCCTTAGAAATTGCTCCAAGGTAGGACTCTCATCTCTACTATTTTACATTTTCTGAAAAAGATTTAGTCTGCAGCATTCTGGGAGCCCCAAACTTTGCAAAACAATAAATCATAGGTAAAGACCACAGATGGCCCTGTGGCCATTTTTTTCAGGTATGTTGAGAAAGAGGTACTGGTTTGTCTTAGTATCTCCTATGGAATATCCACAGCACAAGTAGTTTTTGATATAACTATCAAATTGTAATTATATATAATTGTAAAAATATAGGTGGGTTTTGAATTCACACATGGATCGGGACTGAAGGATACTGTCAAACATCTCTGGATCTAGCCTGGAGCATTCCTGTCGCCCACAGGCATGGCAGTTTACTCATGGGAGTCTCAAGGGGACTTGCACACATGGCAGCTATCATGGCACCCACTGTCAGTGGATTTCTCCTCAGTAAGGTAGAGTTTTCTTGTCAAGAAGATCTGTTAAAAATACTCTGGCAAATTCATTTATAAAGGTGATATCATAAATAATGAATCCAAAGATTGGAAATAAAGTTAAATTGTGGGTAGCTGTCATGAAGATCACCCTAATAAAGAAAAACATAAAGTAATTTCTTTCATGACCACAACCCTGATTCATCCTGGAACCAAAGAACCTACTAGTGATCCGCTGGTAATGACCATCCTTGAAACTGAAATCACACAGCCACATACGTGTTGTGTGATGCTGATTCGATGCATAAATGCCAATCTGCCATGTCGTCTGCAACACTTTAAAATTTTCATTTGCATGACCATGTAAAAGGAAAAGGATAGTCAAAGCAAATGTTTTTGGTGTCTGATGCATGCAGACATTATTATAGGTATTTTATATGCAGTAAACTCATCTAATCATTAATTCTCAGCAATTGTGAAAATGCAACATTATTATATTCATTTCCTAACAAGTAAACTGAAAATCTGGTAGAATAGGTCTTTCTACTATGAGGATGTACAATCAGAATTCTTGTAACTTAAACTTGTTTAGCTCAAAAGCCCATAATCTTTTCATATGCAATCACAAAGTAAGACAAATCTTGAAAGCATTCTTTGTGTAGCTTATGTAGTCAGGACTCATGAGAAAGACAAAATGTATGACACTTTGATAAATAGTAATAAATGTGGTTTTGTAGGCTAATAACAAAGGTTCCAACATCTCTTTTATTGAGAACATTCTGAATGTATTTTGAAATCCTCCATGAAGCCACTTTGAGGAAATAAATTTCTACATGGAAATCTACTAAGGAATGTTGTCATCTGAACTATTAATATACTGTTTTATAGAAGAAAAAAGATGAAAGGGGTAATGTTTACTTGGAGTTTTGTGTCCCCAGGACCCTGTATTTGGGTGGAGGAATGTCTTCTTCTTGCTGTTTGCCATTGACATGTTAGGACTCATCTTCTACCTCGTATTTGGAGACGCAGATGTTCAAGACTGGGCGAAAGAGAAGAAACTCACTCATCTATGATGGCAAAGGATAATAACTTCATCCATGCTAACAATCATATTAGCACTACTTGAAGTTTTTAATTCTATGGCATCTTCTAAATTATTCTACCCTGGATGCGAAAGTCATTAGGTACTTTATTTCATAAATGGGAAGGCTTCGGGGATGAAGGCACCAATGAAAAGAATTTTATTTGCTGTGGCTATTTTCAAATGTGAGATTAGTTCATTTCTTTTTGAGAAAAATAGAAGATGAATAAAAATTCAAATAAATGATAACCAAGGACAAAGTTGTCATCTTCATAGGATTAACAGTGGATTAAGAGGAGTTGTTGTGTGGGAGCCAACATGTTAGATTCTTCTTTTGAATACAAGAAACTGTGTTTTAAAACTCTTAATTCAGGGTAGCAACTTCACTAGTAGAGTTAAAATTAATATTAATTAATATAAAAATTAATATTTATGTATGTTTATTATGTTGGATTTTGTCTATGTAGTCCTCCCTGTGTATATTCCATTCCTCATCCTTCTGCTGAGGTTCCAAGAGGCTGACCCACATGGATTGCATCCCACATTCCCAATCCACTAGATTCTACCAGATTTTCAGTAGAGATAGGTGAGGACAGAGAATATTTGTCTTTGACTGGTCTCTCCTGTGGAGTCTCTAGATGGATGATCTTGCCACTACAGTTCAAAGCTCTTGGCAGGCAGACCTCTCCACATGTTTAGATAACTTATTTCTTCCCTAGTCTTTCAGGTCTTTTTTGCCTTTATTTTGTGATTTCTGGGGTTCTCCAGAATCCCTTGTGGTTTTCCCACCGTCTGACCAGTGCTGCGTAAAATCATCTCTTTTAACACTGTCTCCCAATTATTCAGTGTAAGTTTGTCATATTTTCTCTACTGGGATTCAACTATTTCAGTAGTTCAGTCATATATAAAGCTCAAAACATGAATGGATTAATATTTTTGTAAAATGATAATTTATAATTGTCAGTGGATCAGAGCATCTTCAGAGGGTCTCAGGTCGTGTTCTGGATAGCCCCTTATTCTGATTTCTACTATGTAGAATCGAGACTAGAGGAATCAAGTCGTTTTATGAAGAGGTGATGGGATTGACAACAGTTCTGAATGAACAATCAAGGGAAGAATGTAGAGGACCAAACTTAACAACACTGATTGAGATCTTGTTGTGGTCCAGAATCTGGGATCTTGGGACACTGAAATAAATAGAGACAGTAACTGTTCTCCATCCTAACATGGAGAACAGACCCAATCATAGTAATACACTGTTTTAGGTATAATAGCAGAGGAACATGTAGGACATTATAGGAGACTAGATGAGGGCTTCCAATCCCAAACTGGAGGGTACAGGGGAGATGTCCTTCAGCAAGTAATTTGTGAATTAAATCTTTAATGGGGAGTCCACATTCTTCTCAATAAAATGCTGTTCACGATGCTTGTTAAACTACATAAAGGCATTCCAAATTAGATACAGTTTTGTTTGACACATACTCTGTTTCCTTTTATCTTGATGTCTCAAAATAAAAAGAAAATCTATCTGGAACTAATTTACAAATTGTTTCTGTTGTGCTGTATAACCTAAAGACTTATGTTTACCTAAACTGCAAGAACATCCATTAATAAGTATATCATTAAATGTCTTCTGTGAAAATGAAAGATGATGTAAAATCGAATCTGTTGACTATACTGATTTTACATTCAGGTGTATTTTTTTAAGTTATGAAGTGCACAGTGGGATCTTCTAAAGTTTAAGACAGCAATATTACTCTTTCTACCATAATCACGTTTTAAAAAGTGATTTCTGTTGTCTTTTCTGAAATCCAAAACACATACAAAAGTGTTTTTTCCTTATTGTTTTTGTTTTGCTTTGTGACTAAAATCTTCCCTAAATAGAGGAGAGACACTTTTATTGCCACTAAAGGGAATGGGGTAAACATGGGGGCAATGAGATATTTATGAGAGAAGAAAGACGATAAGTGGGATTATGATGTTGATTTGTCTTTCTGAATAGAGATGCAGGGTTGGTCTGTCCACATTACAGTTCATTTAAGCAAGTCCACATGACAGCATAGTGATAGGTTAGTATGAAGGTCCACTTGATAATGCATTGGGGTTTTGTAGACCTGTGTCACAGTACACTGGAAGTTGGCTTAAGACAACACTGGGCACAATCACAAGGAAGCTTACTGATGAGTTTGTAAATATGGCAACACTTTGGGAGTTGACCTGTGCATATAGTAATACACTGAAGAGTACTTTCTTGTGGGAGCAATCTGTATGTTGATTTATCTATTTGTGAGCACATTGGGTATTGGTTTGTGTGTGTGACAGCATGTTGAAAAGTGGTTAGACATTATTTCAATACAGCCACCATATAATTTGTCACTTCAGGATACTTACCCACTTTCCTGGCTCTGCATAAACTGGCAGGTGTGAAAGCTGATGGTTGCTTATCTCTACAACATTTAGCATTTACAGCAGAATTGCTGGGAGACATGTTTTTCAAGAGGGAAGAACTGATTTGTCTTTAGTAATCTCAAAAGTAGTTGAAACTTACTAAGAATTACAAAATAGTTAAGCAGCTTCCCCAAGGTCACAGTAGTGAGCAGCAAAGCTGAGTTTTAGTCTCAGGCAGTCTGAACCAGGAGTTTATGCCATCCACTCTACATTATACCACTTTTGAAAGGGTATTCTACTTGGATAAGGATCACTGACTAGGCATAAAAATTATATGCGTTCTTTTATTACATCTTCATAACAACCCTGTGGGTTGTGGAATATTATTGTCATTTCCTCACAACAATGAGATTGAGGTACCAGGAGTTTCCTTAAAATAATATATTTTGTATGTGAGAGGCAAGAACTTGCCAAAATTCTACAATAGAAAATGAATAGATTGATATTTCTGTTGAATTGAGCAGTTCATTATCCTTTCCTGCTGAATCTGTGCCAAATCAGTCATCATGAACTGTAGGCTCCACTTATTGGTACCTAAGACTAAGTGCTCCATTAGCCAGCTGTCTCTTCTGGAACATGTATTTAATTAGTTGGTGTTTCACTATCAGAACGTAGAATCATAAATGAAGGAGATCACATAAGAGAGGGTAATCAAGGTCTGACTCAACCTCATGAGCAAGTTTTCCTCTCTAAGTGTATGCCTTACCTCAGAGTTGTTCTAACCAAGGGCAGAGAACTTTCTCCTGCTCTTCATATGTGCTCACCTTCATCACATTCTGAATTATGAAATTTGGGTCATTTGGCCAGTAATGACCAGTTTCCTCTGTAAAAGGAAACTGACCTACCTATGTGAATATACACATGACCAGAGCTGCATTAATTTAGGATAGGTTTCTGTTTGGTATTCTTTCCTATACCCTTGTTATCAGTCTGTACACATGGTCTCCCTTCTCATGACTTCATGTGCAAATAAATCATTACCAGGCATACACATAACCTGTAGTACAACATCTTTCATAGAGTCATTCTTAACTTTAATTATTTTATAGATATAGTCCACATGATACTGGGAGTTAATTGATCATGGGCACAACTAGCAAGTTACTTCATTAAGATGGGAAATTTCCAGGTGATGTTCAAGAAATAATGACATCTATTGTGAAACTTTTGTTTCCCCAGGCAACACCAACCTGGGGCAGGGATGTGGTGATGATTCACATTTACCGGGTAAAATACGTTTATGTTACTTGAGCCACAACCTGCTCCTGTCAAGACTTCAGCCTCTATTCAAGTTCAAATAGTTCTGGGAATCCCAACGAGGGACTTCTTATTATGAGTTTTGTGTTATCAGTGCAATGTCAAGAGTTTGTGTCAAGTCAATAAGAAATTTAAATCCATTTTTAATATGTTTATTTGATTCTCTCTTTTTCATTATTTGGATATTTTATTACACATGTGAGAAGGCACAGTGGATGTAAGTATTCCAGGAAGCTGTTCCTATACCAAGATAGCTAGCAATCATTTAAATATATCCATTATTGACTCCAAACTACATATATGTATCCTAATTTTTAGCCCAAACTATATACATTCCCACTTCAACTTTTCTTTTGCCATATCAAAAAATGACCTCAAACATTCTATCACCCAATACCATAGTGTTCAACAGAATGAAGATAGTGGTCTTAAAATAGTTTACATCTACACATTTTCAAAAATGTAAGACTATGGGAACATGTTACTAATCTTCCTCTGCTCATCCTTGGAAGTGGCCCAAAGGATGAGTTTTAATCTTTTCCCTAAGAGTACTAAGTGGACACCGCTGAAGTGTTGGAGCCTCTGATGTCCAGAGGACGAACCATGCTTCCCTGAGCCCTCAGTGTAGGTACTTAATAAATATCTCATGAACTAAATCGAAGCATTGGTGTCTTCTAAATGTCCCTCTCCAGTTAACTATCATTAGTTTTCAAGAAGAATTTCCTTTTCTACAATGTCTTAGAGAAGTTTTCGTAAAGTCACTCCTTTAATTTTTACCTGTCAGTAGTTCTTTCCTCATGAGATCCCAGGGTCTAAACAACACATTCATGTTTGCCCTTTTATTAATGGCTTCTCTTCTGCATTTACTGCACCATTGTTACTAAGTCACTAATACTGAATTGTGTGCCTGCTTCCATCATCCTTTTGGGTAAGTTTTTGGGGGATTTTCCTCATTTCCAGGGGGATCTTTGGTCACTAATGAAGGGCTTTCTGGTGAGTCCTACCCTATTGAACTTCTCCACACACCAGATACATATGGATTTTACTGAATATGAACAATGAAAACAGTTTTGGTTCAGTCTGAGGCAATCCCCATCTTAACCATATGTGTGTGCATGTGCAGAAGGTGCAGAAAGAAATTAACCTAGTGGTTCTTTCCCATAAAAGTAAAAAATTCTTAATTGAATTCAGTAATCAATATCCTCTCAGTTCCTTTTACCATTTTTTGCATATCAGTTCCTAATGCATTTTTATTCCCAAATCCTGGAACCTGTTTCTCTTTATTGG